TTGCGCGGGGCCTGGCAGTGGTGGCTCGTAAATGGGCGAAAAAGTCGCGTGACTCAAACGACAGCGGCGAACGGTGCCCACAGAGACAGCGAACTATGACGGCGAGGAGGCATTCTGGCTGCCAGCCAGAAAGGATGTAGGCAGACAATGGGACAGAGAGAGAGTGCCCACCGAGTAATGAGCGGACGACTCGTCTTTAATTTGCATCCAATGTACGGGCCGGTCATGCGTTAAATATGCATGAATTCGGGGACGAGAGTGAAAACTGGTAACGGCGTGTAATTGCGCTTGTTGCGACATCGGCTGCGTCGATCATTGTTCCTGGTTGTCACGCTTCTCGCTTGGCCCCCGCTGCGAAATTGATTGAATATATTGACGGAAACGATGTGGGGAGGTTCTTTCTTGCGGCGCGGTTTTTCGTCGCAACGGAGGCTCCAAAGGTTCAGCGTTGCTTGCAGCTGATTCACGTAATTGTTAGGTATCGTGATCATGTTTCACTGTTGCCTAACGAACTCGATGATTAAGTTATTATACTCTAGGATCTATTTTTAGAGGAACTTCGGAGGAACGGAATATTCCTTATACAATTGAAACTTTCACATTCCCATATTCGAAAAGCAGATTCGAATTCTCAAGAATTCCACGGGAGTACACGAACGTAGAATCTATCGAAAAGCGCCGACATCTGTCAACGTCGAACGCAACGAAACCGCAGTAAATTCCCAGAGTTTCCGCTCGAACATTCGATCCACTCGAAAAACCGGCGAGCGTGCAGCTCCGATCACCGTTTCCCCGGGAACAAGTGGGGTAAGGTTCCCAACGGCGGCGTAGCGCTCGCGGCGCGCGGCAGCTCCATCAATTTGCTAAACCTATAGAGAGGTGTCGCCCATAAAACGTTTTATAGATACCGTGGCTCGCTCGCCGGCGCATCGACCGTTTACGAGTTAATTACTTAATCAGTTGATTAGGAACTATCGAATGGTAGAGAAGCGGTGCACGAGCGGCGTTCCGGTTACCGAGCATGGGATCCCATAAGCAGCAGCCGGGAGAAAGAGAGATCCTCGTATGACACCGCGGAATCGATGTCTTCACTACGGTCGGAGGAAATCGCTGTCCGCGAGCTCTCGGTTGAGAAGAAGAAGGAGAAGAAGAAGAAGAAGAAAAAGAGAAAGAACAAGAAGAAGAAGAAGGAGAAGAAGAGGTGGAGGAGGAGGAGGAGGATGAGGATGAGGCAGAAGAAGCCACGCGACTAATTGCCCGTTCGGGAACCAGGGTTTCCTGCGCGGCAGCCCCTAACAGTACACCAACTTCCTGTCTCTATAACTGTATCCTGGGATTGCGAGAGTGTCCAAGGATCGAGAGGATTTCCCGGAGTTCTCTCCGTCGGATAGAGGATCGAGTTATGCGAGGGATTCAAGGGATCCGAGGACGAGGAGTCGGAAGATTCCTGTTCGCGATTTCTAACCCAGGAACGCTGAAATCGGTGCCCGACGATTTCAGTAGTTAACTTAGCTACCCAAATGTGTGCGTTCGTTTGAGTGTCCGTAGAAATCTTGTGTTATCACGAATGAACGCGGAACTATGAGAATAACGGAGATCAGATGTGATTTTAGAGAATTATCAACGCCGACATCGCGAATACCGGGGAATATAAAAATCGAATCGCGTAGCTGTTTAGCTGGTTGCTAACGCAAGCGCTCATAGAAGTTTTTCTGATGAATCCGAATCTAATGGTAGGTTGTTAACGTAAGCGTTCATAGAAGTTTCTCTGATGAATCCGAATCGAATGGCAGGATGATAACCTCGAGTAATTGCGTCAAGTGTATTGCAGCCCGTGCGTTTTCATCTTGGATTACAGATATGAGTCTTCGATAGGTGAGAGTTTATAGAGTAATCTGGCTGACCGGGGATTTTTATTGATTTCTGGATTATAAAGATTTCCTGTTAATCGAGTGGCTCTTCGATCGTGTCTCTTTAGCATCAGCGGGAATTAAGAATATTCGAAGAGCAGTCGTTTTGAATCTAGAACTCTTCAGCTAGTGTTCTATTAAATAAATTACTCCGATTATGCGGAATCGACGGTAACGATAAATCTCGTGTAAAGTCGATGATCTGCGGAGACGACTGCATCAGCACCGCTACGAATTCCAACGAAGCGGATTCGTTAGAATCGTCGAGTCCGTCGACCATTTTCATTACTATTTGAAAACAACCAGGTACGGAAACTCAAAACAAAGCTCGGTGGTTAATTAATAATAATAACGTTCCCACAGAAAAATTTACAGTAAACGATAAGAATAAACTTCAGTACTTCATAAAATCAAGAAAATCGTATATTACTCAATATCTACCGTTAAAAATCATAACTGATAACGCTCATCTTTCGGCCACTGATTGATGAAAAATATCAATTCCCTGCTCTGTCCCTCTCGAGTGCTCACTTCATTACTTCACGAATATAACAGCACCGAATATCAATACGGTCTCCGTCGCGGCATCAAATGTTACGTCGACCGAATCCGTTCACCGGAGTCGCAAATGAATCTATAAATACGTTTCGCCGAACGCGCGCACTTACGGGTAACACCGATCATCCCAGAAGCGGAGGCTAGGATCGAGAAGGCAGAAGAAGTTTGTTTACCCTAATAAGCCTAGGCAACTCGAAACCAGGTACTCGACAACGGGGACGAAGAGGATCCCCGCTCGAGCGCGCGAGCGATAAGCATCCCCGCATTAAAAAGTTGTAACGAAGCTCGAAGGTTGGCATCGTTTCAACGGAAGGCAATACCAGTTCCCATTTATTCCTCATCATCGGCCGACTACCGGGCAGAGCGTCGACAGAAGACATTGCCGTAGGAGGAGCAAGGACAGCGTATCGACATCGGATTCCAGGACGGTTAATCGTTCGGCTCCCTGGCCGGGCGAACCCGGTTTCTCTCCCCCGAGTAATCGTAATTTTCGTAATACGCGATCGAGTTTCTGGCGAGAGCGCGGGCGGCTGCGAACACCGGTGGGGAGGCGGAGGGGCGGGGGTAACGAGGTGGAGGGAGGAGGGAAAGGGAGCACGGTGACCGGAAGCCACGGTTTGTTCAGCCGTTGAACCTGCTCTCGTTTAATTCCGTTCACGGAGCGGCTTCGAGGCAAACCAGAGCTATTATATCGCTGCACCGAGCCAGGACGACGTTATGTATCCCGAGGCTGTTCGCTCCGCGATCCACCCGTTCGAACTATCCACCGTTTCGTCTGTCTTCCTCCCGTTTCCCGATTCCTCTTGTTATCTACTTACACCTCCCCAGTGCTCTCTACATCCGTGTCGGTGATCGTGATGAGTTGTTGAATGGTGAATCGGTTTTTGGTCATTTCTTTGGTAGCGTTAATAATGAATTTTTGGTAATTTGGAGATTAGTCGCGGGCGGAGAAGTTTAAACGTTACAAACTTGGAATAGTTTTTCGATGTTTCGTTCGACATAAGGGGTGACTAAACACGGACACGGTTCGCTTAAAAAGAAATGTAACTGCTCTTCGTTCTAGATCGGGTAGATCGGACGATCAAACGAATCGCTGGAAAATGTATACATTAACCGTATGAATATTCATGGGGGAGCCTTGATGCGGATGAAGGATAAGATGTCCGGAGCACCAGCTGTTCCGGTACCGAACAGATGTAGATTACCCGTGCATTCGCGTAAATATATCTTTCAACCTAAAACCGTCCACTCCTCGAGTTCTATAAAATGCGCGCCGAGGTTGTTTCGCCCGAAGACGGAACGTTTGAACGGGAATTCGCGCCGGGGTACAATGTGGTCGCGTCAATTAGAGAAGTTCGGGTTGGAAGCGTACGCGCGAACCGGCAATTTGCACTCGGCGGGGCGACTCGGGGAGGCTAACAACAATAATTCGCAATAAGAGCAACCGCTTCCTGGATGGCACAGGTGCGTTTCCTAGATGCGGTTATGACGATCGGCGACCGAGGCAGCGGCGATTAAACGAATAAGGAGTCACGGCAATAGGGAAACACCTGCCCGCCTTTTATAACGGCCACTAAAATGCTTCGTTAAAGGATCGACCGGGCTCGGATCCTGTAAATTTAACGATTTTACCGGACAAAGTACGGTCTAACTGCCCGGTAACCGGTACGCCTTCCTTGTTGATTGCGGTCGGCGGCAGAGGAGGGGTTCTAGGACAGTGAGGGACGAGAGGGAGCGAGAGAGGGAACGGTTGGACAAGGAGCGAAGAGAGGGGTAGGAGGGGAAGGTTCTGTCGGCGGCCGTTCGACGTATCGTCCCCGTCCGCCAATAAAGTAGCGGCGGGAAATTAATCTCATTGGAAAAGAGCCCGTGGCTCTTGCCGGTCGCGTCGCCGCGCGATTTTAGCAACTGGCCGTTTTTACGCGGCGTTTACGAGGCGACAAAGTGCTCCCGACGCAAAAACTTGCGCTTAACGAGGGGATTTGTAGTCCGGGGTTTGCCGCGCAATGGTAAACGATTAGGCTCGCCGGCCTCGCGGCTCGTCCCCCCGTTCCTGCTCCGACCGGGATATAGGATCATTAATTTAATTTTATTCCGATCCTGTTGGTAATCCCGTGTAACTGGTGCCAGATTGCAATAAAGTTCTACTTTAAGGCCCGATAAAGCTCAATTCGATCGGCTCGCTGCGTACGGACGGGTCGAGTTTTTCTTCCTTTTCGGGGATTGATGAGACGACGTCGGTTGCCCGATGGAAATTCGGGGGAGTCCGCTACTCGGGGACTCTCGTAACTCGGGTGTGAAGATTTCGGCGACACGGATGGAGGGAGCGAGGTATTTCTCGCTTTTTTAGGGTGTTCATTCTTTTCTCCCCCTTTTTCGTTGTGAGAAAGCTGTCAGTTTTCTCTGTTCGCCTTTTTTCCGCGATAGAGCTACTCCCGTTCACTCTCTTTCCTGTACCAGGGTGCTATCGATCCCTTTTCTCTGTGAAACGGTTGCTGCTTCAACCTAGAGAATATTTAAAGCGGTACTTACGAGTTAGAGGTAGAGCGTGCCGACGCGTCGCGGTGCCACCACGGTGACAGCCAAGCGCGGTCCACACTTGGTCGGCGGTAGTGGCGCTGCTGTGGCTGGCGGCGGGGTTTCCGGTCTCGTGCAACCTAGGCCACTTCCACCGCGTAGCTCCCACACTAAATTCGTCAGTGAACGCGGTCTGCTCAGACGCCGCGATCTGCGTGGACGATTTCATAGGACGTTAACAAACTCGTTCCACTTCGGGTCAATATACTTCGAGGTTAGGCTATTTCTGGATAACGAGTGCCTCGAAGAGTATTAATCAAAAGTACGCAGCTTCTAACATCATTACACAATCTTGGTAAAACCTGGCAGTTAAGTGGAAATACATTCTATTCAATAGAAAAGAATCTATCGCAAGTTACATGTGCTGAAACACGTTCTATTTCAAAGACAAGCTATTTGAATTACCCTCCTAAGCTATGAAAAATTCTGTAATTCGTTTAAAAGAAACGTCATCTCGAGCATCGACTTAATGAAGAAAAATTGACTATCCACTGGAATCGTCATCCTCTGGATACCTTTTTTCCGGCAGCTTAGCGCCAGCTCCGGAGTCCCCCGATGTCCTTCCACCAGAATGGCTCGAGTCCAGCGTGCCGTCCAACTCCATGGCCTGCTGCAGGTTCGTCAGGCTTTTATATCGTATATTGAAGAGCGGCGAGCCGCCCTTGTATCCCGGCGGCGTCTCCTTCAGCGGGGACGCGCTCTTCTGTCTCATCAGCGGGCGTCCGCGCTGGGTGCCGCTGTTCTTCACGTAGAGCTTGGCCAGTGGCGGCTTCTCGACCCTCGGCTGCGGCGCCTCTTTCACAGCGCGCCTCGTCCTCTTCTCCGCCTGTATCTTCTTGGTCGGTATGGTCTCGATGGGCGGCGGTTCCGGTCTGTCGTCGAGCAGAGGCGCAATCGTGACGGTGACCGGCGTCAATGGCGGACTCGAGCTCTGGTTCGCCGGCAGCGGGCTCTCGTACGGAGACCTGACGCTCTTGGGCAGTGGTGCGAAGCCGCGCACATAGTCGTAGATCTGATCGATTTCGTCGTACTCCTCGGTGCAGGCGGACGGCGGCACGCGGTTCTCGTCCCTGTATCCCGCGTGGCCGGACGACGCCTGGTGGCCGTTGCTGTGATAGTGATGGTGATGATGATGATGGGCCGCGTTGTTCCTGTGATGGTTCAGCGGCCCGTTGTCCGAGTTGGTCGAGGACCGCCTGAGGAATCCGGATCCGCTTCTGGTCTGCCTGGACGGCTTGCTCTCGCCCAGACGGCCGTCCAGCACGTGAGCACGATCGGCGACGTCCGCGACGAGGCGCGAGGCGCGCTCCACCAGCCTCGTGAACTCCTGCATCGACCTGAGCGCTTCCTCGTTCCTCGCCTTGACCAGTTTCAGAGGAGCGGCGAGCGGCAACGCGACCGCTGCACCCTCCCGCTGCAACGGCAACGCGAACACGTGTTCCTCCTCGAACGTGGACAACAGCCTCAGCTCCGGCACGAACTGCGAGGAGGACTTCAATCCCCTGGGCGGCTGGCCGTGCACCAGCCGCACCGTCAACGGCAGACGCTTGCTGAGCAATGCACGGGCGGTGTGCACGCCGCTGATGTTGTCCTCGCGGGCCAGCGCGCTGAAACGACCTCGCTGATCCATGCCGAGCAGCACGCTGTCGCCGCGACAGTCCACGCAGCGCAGGAATCTGCCGCGGCCCGGCAGACTCACCTCGCCCGCTGTTACGATCGTCTCCCCCGCTGCTAGAGTCCTAGTCCCCTCCGGTACCACTATCCCTGTATCGTCGTCCACTCTGCAGGCTATCCCGCGCACCGTCTCGCGCACCAGCGCGCCTTCCTCCGGGCATCTTCGGCACAGCTCGGTCACGGACTCTATACCGCGCACCGCGCGACCCTCCTCGCTCAGGATCTCGAAGTAGCCCGCGTACGAATCCGGGATCGCTAATCTGGGCCCGACGCCGACCACGCGCCGGCCTTCCTTGATCTTCACCGCCTGCGCGACGATCTTTCGCCGGCGTCCGGCGGACACCAGCAACGCTGTGCTCTGCAAGCTGGGCGCCGGCAAGGTCGGCACACCCAGGCCACCGTACTGGCCCTTCGTGATCTTGATCACCGCCGGGAGACGATACTTGGACACGAATTCGCGGAGGTACGTGGCCTCCTCGGCCCACCGTGCCGCCGCAACCACGATCTGACCGTCGGTCGCGGCCATCGCGGCGCTACAACGCCGCCCACCACCCTCGCGAGCACGGGCCCCGGCGCCGACGTCACCGTCGAGAGGGCCCGCTCAGGGCCCAGGACCGTCTTCCTCAACGCTACTGGCGCTCCTGGTGGACGGACGCCGCGTCTCTATGCTCCATCTGGAAATCAAACCGGTGGGGATTCTTTCGTTAGTTCCTTTTTCGATAGAGTTCATCGTTTTATTCTTATTATAGTGTAATTGTTTTAGTATATATTTAACGGGTATACGCTTTCCGCAGTCGAAACCGGAGAAACTTTAACAATGTGTTCTACTTGAATCGATACCGCGGAATTCAAATTACATTTCATTTTTCCATCTGCACTTCTACACTTCCCCGAACCTGATAAAACGCCTCATACAGTAATCCACGAATTCCTGTTCGATTCCAATTTCGATAAGGTCTAGAAAGGAAGCTCCATTCAAGGCAGTTACCCGCTGAAACGTTAACAGACGGTTCACAGCGGATTACGCTTCGGCAGAAAGAATTCGATTGAAAAACCGAACAATGGAATTCACTCCGGATCGACCGAACCGTGGCCCGGATACCGTTACTCCCTTACGGGGCTCGCATCATAAGCCGACGATTAAACTGAGACGGCTCGCGCGCCTATCTCGCGGTGCCCGGTTACCTAACGAGCGTACACTGCGCGCGGCCGGGCCCGGAGTGTACGTAAATGGGCGGTGCCGTCGATTGTTTCGGATTTCTCCAAAGCGTATATCTCTCGCCGGTGGAAAGTAACGATCGTGACTCGGCCATCGAGCATCGCGGACCGCATTAAACGATTCTTCCCATTTGGACGAATTGCTTCACGGTTATGCCCGCGATCGGCACGGAAATTCCGAGTCCTGGTGCCGTAACGCCGCTTGGGAACAGCCGCCTCTGCTCCAGAACCTATCTCGCCGGGCTGGATGCTTCCGTGTTACCTCCGGCGGGTTTCGACGTATCGGATATCGTCCGGGCGATTATATAAATCGCGGTCGCTCGCCACGGGACTCGATTGTTTCACGCCGGCAATTATCGCTTTCCTTCGCTCATACGCTTTTTCCACCCTTCATTCGTTTCGTTGAACGAAGGCTTCGGGCCGCGACTAGTTCCGAAGCAAAGATTCTGTATGCTAGGTTACAGAGTTGTGGAGAAATCAGGTAGAAGCAGCGATGGAAATCACGTTGAAACGGTGTTAATACTTAAATAGTTTGATTCTTCTGGCGTACAATAGTGCTATTGTATGTCTAAGTTACTAGAAACTTATTAGTTTGTCTTAGACGATAATAATTCCTATGCCCGAGACATTAGCAGCAATCTAATTACAATCTCCTTCGTGTTTCTAATCTCGTAATAATCTCCGTCGAGTTTCTAATCTCTCAATAATCCCTCCCGAACGTCTAATCTGCCAATCTCCTTCGCGCTCGACGCAAAAATGATTTATGAAAATCGTATTAACAGTACGAAGATAAGATTCCCAGTCTGCCAAGAATCCGTTCAACATCACCGCACGGTCGGAGCGACGATAATCGGAAGACTCGCGGGGCAGCGATGACTGATCGAAAACGTGAACATTCCAGCGCTAATGGAAGGTTGAAAAAAAGCCTTAAATGCCGACCCGACGTCAGTACCGTTCTCTTTGTCTCAACGGTACCATCGAGCAGCTTCCCAGAACGCTCGCTGTTCACCGGCTACATGAACCGGCGTTGGACCTAGTTTCTTACATGACAAGTTCTGCGAAGCGTGTTCCGCGCGACCCGTATTATCTCAATAACGACGAATCGTCCGTTTCAACCAGAGATCCTCTTCAATCTCGATCAATGGTCGCCTACCACGTACCGTCTGGTCCAAGCGTAAAAACGTGCGAGTCACCGTTCAGGTGAATCATCGTCGAAGACGAGTCCCCGCGCGTTGGCCCACACGGAAGTCCGATCGCGTCCCATTCTAACGATCCACGGGCAATTTATCGCCGCGGCCGTGTGAAAGGCCCATTCAGAGTGTAACGTGGCTGCTCGCCGAGGCGGGAGGGGACGGATAATGAAATCGCGCGGTGAAAATCGAGCCGTCCTGAAAGGGGGGCCCGCGCGAGATGGCCCGCAGCCGGCCCGAGATAAGGACTGTGGTGACCAATGACCCGGGGCGTCGTGACAGGCGCGCCTCTAGGAAGTTATTCGACACACTCCTCTGTCCTGCATTCCCCTACACGCCTCGTCCCTCTTTCACCGGCGTCCCTCCCCTCCCGCCTCTTCGTCTTCCACGGCGAAGATTCGAGCCGCGGCCAGGATCTCTCTGTGCACACACAGAGATTGCTCTTTCACGGTGGATTCCCCGTCTCGCGCGCACGATGCAAATTTGTATTGGAATTTTTGCCTGGGAAACGGTGCTTTGATCGAACGCAGGAAACCGTTAAGTTCCTTCGCGGCGTGCGTGTTACCGTGATAAGGCGATTACGCGATACGGGAACAGACGGATCGCTCGCTGTATCTGATATAACACCGCCGGGCCTCGCGGTCCGGCCCGCGCCGGGCGTCTTGGATCGATGGGAAACGCGGATTCCACGGTGGGACTGCGGCCGGAGACGTCTTTCTCGGACGTGGAACGGGATATCTATGTTCAGCGAGTTCTTAGGTTATTATTTTGGTATCGTTATTTTCCTGAACATTATCATTGGTTAGTCTTTCCTTGATTCTCTAGAGACCCTTGGCGAACACGGAATTTTCGCGTGGATTTCTTTGCTTGTCATCAGATTGTAGACCTTCCAGTAGATACAGATACCTAGAGAACAACTCGTACAAGTTCGGATCAAACGTTTGAAAGACAAAGTCTTCGTTTCAAAGACAAAGTTTGATCAAAACGAAAGAACAAGGTACAACAAGGAAAGTATCAATAATGCAACAGCAATTCGCGAAAGTCATCAAAGAAGAAATTAAAAAACACCATCCACAGCTGCATTCCTTTTTGATTACACTCCGATGAAAAGCCCAGAACATCGAACGCAACTCCGAAACTCGCATCCAAATCGGTTCGCTTCATCTTCGCACGTACCGGGTGTCTGAAAAGTGCTCCGCCAGCCGAAGGAGACGCGACCCCGCCCCCGAGCGAGAGTTACAGCCGAGGGTGGCGCCGATTAACCAGCCCGATCGTCCGCGTGAATCAGCTCCCTTGTTCCTCCCGCTCGGCCGTGGCGTCGCGACGCGACGATGGGATCGTTGGTTGCGCGATTTTTGCAGACGTCGCCGCATTCCGGTGCCGGGGTAGCGTTCCAGCGATAAAGGCGACACGAACGAGCCCCTGGCCGGCTGCCGGGGGGTCAGGGGCCCCGGTTTGTCGTCGCGCGTATCGATACGCGTCGCGATTACCGGTCCGCGGGGACGGTGGTGTGCG